GTTTTATACCTTGGCATGAAGCCGTATCCAGTGCTCAAGCAGCGGCGAGTCCCATCTATCTGCCATTATGTTAAGAATGCTATTGGAGCCGCCCCGCAAACGCTTCAGCATCGATGCAACACGCTTTCTAATAATGGCGTGGAAACCATCAGTGTGCACTTCAGTGAACATTCCTGACGCACTGCAAAAGCGAGGCAGCCTCATCAGCATCCTAAACCCATTATTATACTGGACACGCAACGCGCTGTACACCCGCTGCGTATAGTTAACCCATAGGTTGCCCGTGTAAAAAGACTGGCAGTAGCCTTTGAAAATAGTAATCTTTACCTGCCTACTGCAACGAGCAAGCCTTCGGGCCACCATGTTACATCGGATGGACAGCGCCCTGCGTTCCCGCTCGATATCCATATCATCACGCAGATTCTCAGTGACCCAGTGACCCAGATACTTAAAATGTGAGACACGCTTTAGAGGTGAGTTGTTGAGTGTGAAGGTAGTCGCACTTGGTCGGGATTTGACTCCTGCCTTGAACACCATGAATTCATTCTTTTTCACATTGTATCGGAGTCCATGGGACACTGCATATGCTTCACATACTTTTAATAGTTTTTGCATGGCACCAATCGAAGGGCTGAGCAGCACCATGTCGTCTGCGTAGCTTATGTTATTAATACATACACCATCGATATGACAGCCTACATTTGTTCCGCTCAGCTCGTCGATCAAGCCATTAATGTACATATTGAAGAGCCTAGGAGATGTAAGACCACCTTGCCTCACCCCACATTTAAGTCTATATACATCAGAGTATGAGCTCGCCCATCTAACACAGTTGGTCTGCCGCTCATACCACGATCGTAGCACCGCAACTACCTTGTGCGGCACATCAGTCTCATTTTGTAGTTTTTTCCATAATATGTCATATGACACCAAATCGAAGGCCATGGACAGATCAAGAAAACAGGCAAAAACTGGAGTGCTCCTATCAGTGTAGTATTTGACAGTTTGCTTGAGACACAAGATAGCGCTTTCGGTGGACAGACCTGGTTGAAAACCAAATTGCGCATCATTAAATTTTAAATAACCACTTAAGTGTTGATCAAGCAAACTGTCCAGCACCTTTGCCACCACATTAGCCAGTGAGATTGGTCTGTAATTTGTCAAGTCCGATGGATCCCCCGACTTGTTCTTAATAACAGGCACAACAATGGTTCGCATAAGGTCATCAGGCAGGTAAGAGTGGCTGAGACAGAGGTTATATAACAAAGATACCAAGAGACCCTTGGTAGATGGATTCCTGCGCACTGCAGATGCTCTATGCTGAGATAGTCGTGACCAGGCGATTTACCCGGTACCATGCTCTTAATTACGCGGTCCACATCCTTTGCCGAGAATCTAACTTTAATATGGTCAGCACGACACCCATCATCACACATCGCAGCTGCAGGCCCAAGAAAAGTTTAGCCATGTTTCATCAGTGAATGTAATGTTGTCTCAATTAGTTAGTATTTTTAATTTTTATTAAAAATGTTAATCGTTGCATTCATGTCTCTAAATAATTATATGGCTTTGGTTTCTTTTTGGATCGGAAGCCAATTCCTTTTCAAATGGTTCTCAATGACTCTATACTACCATTACACAAGCCGGCACCTTCAAAACTTACACGAAACTTCACCGCAGTGGGATTTACAGAAATTATTTAAAAAATTAGACTTGTTTAACTTTAATTCATATTTCATATAACTTATACAACTCTAAATATAAATATCTACATAAACGAATAATAAATTTAAAATGAAAAGATTTGATTATTTGAATATTTTTAACGATTATTTTTACGAATTTGAAACATACAAACACTAAGGTAAGGTACATAACGACATTGACACAACGTTGAGCACAAACTGTTGATTCTGGTTAGAATAGAATAGAATAGAATTTTTTTATTCAATATAGATTACAAGTAATTCTTATTGAGAGTCAATTTTAAACTTTACCACTGGTTCGAAAAAAAACCTCTTTCCTGGGAAGAACCAGCAAGAAACCCAGCGGATTTTTTTAAAAATATATTTTACAATGTCAATGGTCACAAAATATTCACAAAATAAATTTTAGAAACAGCTTGGAAGCGACCACCTCATTTTCAGGGGTTATTATATGTATTCATTTACATCATAATAACCCTTTTTATACAGTTTTTGTTTAATTAAATATTTAAACTTGTTAATAGAGATACCTTGTATATTTTCTGGGAATTTGTTGTAATAGCGTATAAATTGATCCAAGAATGAATTACTGACTCTGTGGAGTCGAGAAACTGATATCACTAGCTTGTGTTTGTTCCTTGTGTTTACAGAGTGTACGTCATTTTTTTTTTACTAAAACTATCTTTGTTTTTGTGAACATACTTCAAATTGTCATAGATATACTGAGAGGCCAAAGTTAATATATTTATTTCTTTAAATTTTTCTCTAAGAGACTCTCTCGGTTTAAGGTTGTAGAAAGCTCTAATGGCTCTTTTCTGCAAAATAAAAATAGTTTCTAAATCAGCCGCATTCCCCCATAGCAAAATCCCATATGACATTATGCTATGGAAATAACTGAAATAAACTAGCTGTCTTGACAAGATCTCTAATATTTTTTACAGCATAAGCTGGAGAGCTTAGTCTGCTTGGTAGTTTAGATATATGGGGTCCCCACTGAAGCTTAGCGTAGGGAGTGATGCCAAGAAAAACAGGATTCAACAGGACTCAGTTCTTCCCTATTTAATAACACATTGGTACTCGGATTATTAACATTTGTTGTTGTAAATTTAATACATTTAGTTTTGTTGCCGTTTAAATGTAGATTATTAACGTTAAACCAATGCACTAATATTCCCTTCGTCACATTTAAATGATTGACGTTTAAGTTTAAAAATCAAGGAAGTATCATCAGCAAATAATACTATATCATGATTATCCTCTAAGAGGAAAGGTAAACCATTAATATACACTAAAAATAGGAAAGGGCCAAGAATTGAGCCCCGAGGGACACCCATCTGTAGGGGCCATCCGGAAGAACTTTTACCGTTGATAACAACTTTCTGCACTCTACTACTTAAATATGATATAACTAGTTCAAACGCTGTGTTCTTGACACCATAGTACTGTAGCTTCCTGATTAATGTCTCATTGTGAACACAGTCGAAGGCCTTGGAAAGGTCACAAAATATTTGTGACCGTGATAACGTGAATGGTTAATTGTTGTATTATGATGCTATGTACTGTATTTTGCTTTGTTTGAAATATTCGAATTTAAATTAGTGCTAACGAACTTATACATGTTGTAACGAAATATAGATAACTTTATAATTGTTTGTATTTACGTAAAAGGTTATTTTAAATCGTGTGAGTTAGCTTGTAAAAAGTTATTGCGTAATGATTAATGTGAGATGTCAAAACGTATTTCTTAGACGTGGTGGAATGTTTTACCGTACAGCAACGTCTTCAAAAATCTAGGTTTGCTTATAGACAAAACTCTAAATTTCAAAGAGCTAGATTTACCGTGAAGTCACTGCCGCCTTATAATCTCTTTATCGTTGAAACCACTGTTGAACCGAAACACCTTTGAAATTTAAGTTAATACTAGAGCAAACGTTCATATTAAACACTATCGACTATGCAGATGTGTGCTATCTAGACTTATCCTAAAAACTTCTTAACAAGCTGGAAGGCAGTCATAACGAATACCTATGTTAGATTTATTTTAAGTTTACGAAAGTACGATCATATTCTACTTGTTCTTTTTTCAATTCTGAATGACCCTTACCACCCTATTTCATAGCTTATGGTTTAATCAAAATATCATTTTTCAACTCACAATAGAGTACTTTGCTGTTTCTCAGACTGTGAAATTAGCATTCCTAACCAAACCTTCACACTGCTACCCTCTAAAATGGAAGCAAGCATTACCAATACCAGGGCTCCGTCACCAGCTCAAGGTCTCGCGGTACCTACCGGCTAGTGTACTCCTGGAACCATACTTGTAGTATTAGTGGAGTGCCGCACACTCTAAAGATGGGTACTTAATTTAATTTTTAATCATTAAAATAAACTGTTAAAAATAAATAACATATTTCTTTAATAAATAAAATTAACCATTGTTAATAAAATTATCATAATATCTGATCCTTTTATTAAAATTGTCTTAATACTTATCATGTATGGAAATACCTATCTTTTCAGTGTTAATATTATTTTTATTTGAACATATAGAAACTGATACTTTTAACTTCTAAAAAATTAAATGTAAGTCTCCCCAAAGTGGGGAGAATATACAAGAAAGATAAAGAAAACTGAACTAAATATAGTGTATATGTGTAAAGTATCATAATACAATACAAACTTACCAAAAATCCGAACCGAAACAACGGCAAAATTACTTTAATCACTTCGCGAAATCAAATATTTAAGTTTTAAGCAATTTAACACGCGCGATCTTGAGTCACTTCCGAAAATACAAGTATCAGTGGGGTTAAGTTTAATAACAGAGAATTCAGAGAAGGACATAAAGCTATTTATTATTTTGTACTACTCAAGCATATTTGATAAGAAAATAAATAAAATAATTATTTCATTGTTTGGTCTTTTTAATCATCTTTCTACAATCCTAGCGCGTTTGCATGATGAGGCAGTCATACGAAAGTCGCGCGGTGGGCAAAGCGTCCTTAACTCCCGACAAGCGTGCAGAAGGTATATTTTTGCCTGCAGTTAACATCTTTTGAAAGGCTATAACAGTAATAGCGTAGGTATTTTCTCTTTTTATAGGAGAGAACTATCTATTACGTAGTAATATTATTTAATCTGTGCCAATGCGTACTTCAAATTAAATGAAAACGCTAAATCGGGAAAATTATGGACACGGTTACAAAATGATGATCTAGCAGCCGTTCTAATTCTGATCGATCATCAATATGGTCGAGACCATGTTGTCACAAAAATATCACATTAACCTTATGTTTAATTTTTTACCTGCCGCGCCCGCGATCTTGCATCAGCGGCTGGGGCTCGTCCACTGCTTACTACCACGGTGCAAGCGATTCGGTCATAAACCTGCATGGGTAAAAATTTACCATAATAACATTATGATTAAAACCTAATTGGACTTATTCATTTACATAACATAATAATCCATAACATATAATACAGTACAATATTTACCAAAGTAAAAAATTAAAATTTATCGTAACTCGGTATAGTGTCAAAAACGCTAACAGAGCTTTCTCGCTGGATGTTAGTGAGCTTTCGTGTGTGTGTCACGGATATGATTATTGTGAATAAAATATTGTTACGTGCGGGGTGAGTAAAAATGCCGATTTGCCGACACACCAAGTATATAATTACGACGTCCAAAATCGGTAACCTTCTTAATCGCAGATGTCGTAGGTTGAATTCTCGTAGTCGCTAAATAATTCTTCGCCCTCGGGCACACGTTCTTATAAATAAATATATATAGAACTTTCTAGCCCAATCCAGGTCGTTCCACTCTTTCGACCGGAAAGTTCTAGAACACTCGCGATAACATAACATTAAAAATAACCAAAGGAGAAAAGGCTTTATATACGTAAACATAAGGTTGCTTCCTGCTTGCATTAATGGTTCGAGCGCTCTATTATTTTTATGCCTACACTTTTTACTACATGTCAAAGGCCACTGACCCTTATCGTCGGGAACATTCTCGTGCAATGTGACACAATACACAACTGGCTACACGCTACCACTACCGTCCTGTTTCTGTTTCCCCTGCACAGAACTTAAAGATGTGTTAGAAAGTTTTCACTGACCTCCATATACGGGCTGGATATACACCGTGACGTAATGAGGCAATTTGACTTTCGCCATTTCGGATAATATAAAATATATCGATATAAGTTTTATACCCAGGCCTACCCGTAAAGTCCGTTCTATTTATGTATCATTTTAATACAATGCCATACAATAAATAAATATATCAATTAATACCTAGGTCTCAGACGCAAGCTTTATACCTCACATAAAACTAAGATCGACGCTGTATTGCTCTATATACGTTTTTTTCGCAACTACAGAACGGATTTCGCTCCGGGTTTCAACATTGGGTATGTTGTTTTATTCGCGAGGCTTAAATCTTCAATTATTACTGGAAAATATTTAACTGTGTAAATAATTTATTGCCAACCGCTCATTCAGTTCTAGTATTATAGAAAACAAATCAGCTGCTAAAATAACGCCTATTCTAATTTTACTGGTCTGTCTATAGAGAGAATATATTTTATCTTCTAATATAAAAACAATTGTTTGTTCGTATTTTATGCACTACCATAACGTTTATCAAATTGCGGTAAACCTTTGTGAACTTATTGCTTGCACTTGCGCGAAGCCGAATATTATAGGCATAGTACCATTAACATACGCTAGGTGGTGCGCGTATCGTACTGACAATTTATTTGAAAGATATAGATTGAGACAAATACCACGTTACACCAGAACACAGTACAACTAGCCCTCGAATAATTTTACTCTTTGGTCTCACTCTCAGATAACTTCATTTGAGTTTTTTAACACAAATGTGGAGTAGCTAATACTGGATATTGTTACTCTAGAGTTTGTGAATTAATAACAACAATAAGACAATAACATTTGATAATTTGTCGGCGACTTTGGTTGTTAACATATATGGGTAGAAATGAACATCGATAGTTTAGATTACGACGGGCTGTTTTCCGCAAGTCCACGTCTAAGCGCGTATTTTGCGTGTGGGCAGGGATAATGTGATTATTCGAGCCATGAAATCTCCCCGAAGAAGTTCCACAGTCTTTTGATGTTGCAAACAACTTAGGGGAGCAATCCCGGCGTGCCGAGATGTTTAGCCCTGTATGAAGCGACTTCCGGACATGTCAGCAACACGTGAGCCGCCGTTTCTTCCTCCCCCATGCATGCCCTGCACAGGGGGCTATCTGTAACACCTATGGTAGATAAATGTTTGTTAAAGGAGCTATGTCCTGTGATAGCACTTGTTACTATCCTGATCTGTGGTTTGCTCAGTGTCATTAGAACCTTGGTTAAACGACTGTTTATTTCAGGCAGGGCCTCCCTAGCTTGTCTACAGTCTACTAGATTTTTCCAAAGCTAAGCGTGTAGATTATTGAAGTTTCTATGTACCAGTGAACGAAAGTAACCAAAGGGGGTTTGGTATTATTGGTTTCGGCCCTATAGTGGCCAGAGCCGATACCATTCTGGCCAGTTCATCTGCTGCATCTTTGCCTCTAGATCCACTGTGCCCCTTAATTCATTGCAGAGTCGCATTGTTGTGCTTACACACCTCATTCAATCGTTGATGGCATTCATATATTAGCCCTGAGTTCACCATATTACAACTCAGAGCTTGTAGTACCGCCATAGTGTCTGTCAGTATTCTGACGGAGGAGTCTTTTACCTTCCTATTGCTATGGCCGCATGGATTCCGCCTGAAAGACTGTGTTATGGGTACCCAGCGGTGTACATATGTGGATATTAAGGTTTTCAAAGGAAGTTCCAGAACCTACAACTTCATTTGTTTTAGAATTATCTGTGAAAACTCAAAGCTCTTTTGGGTTTAATCCCTCCGGATGGTCGGTTTCATTTAATTGTATCTTATACTTCTTATTGAATACAAATTGCTTTGGGATCTTATCATACTTGGCTTGGAAGATAGGATTTTTGAGTAAATTTTATCAATTATACCTGTAGGAAGGACTCTACTCTTACCTAAACGGTTTAGGGTCTTGAGTCTAATGGCAGCTAAAGTTGCTTCGTAGATGAAGCGGGGTTAGCTCCAGTATAGCCTCTAAAGCTGCTGTTGGTGTAGTTCTTATGCAGCCTGTGGCAGCCATACAAGCCAATCTCTGGTAACGCTGAAGCTTTTTATAGTGGTGGTCTCATTAGTTTTGGTCCACCATACCAGAGAGCCGTAATGTGATCATGGGCCGAATTACAATTTTGTACAGGCACAATATAATTTTTGGCGTCAAACCCCATCGTTTGCCACTCATGTTTCTGCATTGCTAGAAAGTTATACTAGCTTTGTTGATTTTATTTTCTACGTGTTTATTCCAGTTGAGTTTACTGTCCAAGGTAAGACCTAAGTATTTTACCGCAGAGGATAGCTGGAGTTTTGTGCTGAAAAGACTACTTTGACAAGTATTATAAACAACGAACTCGACAACCCTATTGCATTATATTGTTTATCAAAATTCAGTAATATAAATCCAAATATGTTGGTCATTACGATATTACGATTAGGAACAAATTTTTACCTACATTATCAAAGAATTTTTTTAAATATTAGCTGTAAATTCACTTATTTGTGCAATGTTATCCACTATCTTTTTGCTAACGAGTTTTACAAATTACGCAAGCTCTCATTATTACTAAAAATAATTCTTATTATTTCAAAGACTGGCATATTATGTCAATTTTAATTCCCGGTACGAACAATGGCAGCGCTTCAAATCGGCACAAACATTTTGTAGGATACAGCCAGTGCAGCGTACTTCTATATATAGAGTCAGTGGAATTTTACATAACCAAATGTGATTTAGTAAGACATATCAACTCGTTTAGCGCGATAAATTTATTCACAATCTGAAGTATTATACAATTCGAAACCTTATTGTGTATTAGACCGACATTATTAGATAAAAATAAACTGCATAGTCTCTGGGCCCAGGAGTGCGTATGGATGTTCCTTAATCTATTCACATTAATAGTAACAATATTCCGCAGTGCAAGACGTGACTGAATTGAATTTATTTGCTGAGATAATGCTTTTATTTAAGAGCAATAGTTAACATTTAAATGTTGCATAGACATGCAAAATTTGTTTATTACCTCCAGAAGCGCCCTTAGCTGTGAATCATCAAGCACACTATGGAACAGGTCTGGATCCATGAACAGCGGCCCGTCCTGAAGCACAGCCACGTCGTCCAACGACTCCACTACTAGGTTGATAGCTGTATGAAAAAATTATGAAAAGCCAATGATTTCTTAAATTTACGCGAACACTACACATTGAATAAAACTAAATTTACGGATTCTATCGCGTTTATTTAACTGATTTTACTTATTTTTAATTCCCGACGTTTCGGGTGCTTTACAGCAACCATGGTCACGGGGGGGGGGACCCATGAAAAGCTTTTATTATTAAATATCTTGTAATAATGAAACAAATTAAAGATTTCTTATATTCACGCGATCACTACACATTGATTAAAACTACTTTTACGGATTTTATCGCGTTCAATATATATAATTTTTTAAATCCCGACGTTTCTGGTGCTTTCCAGCACCGATGGTCATAAATAATAATAATTAAAAAGCTGAAAGTACTCCGATAAATAATAATTAATAAGCTGAAGGTACTCTGGGTTAACACTAACATCTCAGTCAGCCCATCAGTCACCTCAGTCCCCCGTGACCAAAATGAGTGCTGGAAGACACCCGAAACGTCGGAAATTAAAAATTATAGATGTATATTAAACGCGATAAAATCCGTATAAGTAGTTTTTATCAAATGCAAACAAACTATTAATTAAAAATAGTTAAATTTTTGAATGAAAAAATCGTATGAGGTGTACGTCATTTATTGAGCGTAGAATATAGAACTGTTCTAACAAAACATATATAATCTGTATTATGCAATGACATATTTTTTAATTTTGACAACGTAATGTGTTCTATTACTTTTCCTGGCATTGAGGATATAATGAGTTACGGCTAAATTTCATGAAAATCATTATTGGTTTTTTTTTTTATTATTTTTAACAATTAAAAAATCATGTAACTTTTTATTAAGTTTTCAAGAGAACTTAAACAAATGCATGACAATTCATTTTTTTTTACTTTTCTACTTTCAATTTTCTAATAGATTATATATTCTAATGAAGTTTTGCAGGCAAAATCTATAGGGACGAAAAATTGTTACACTACGTTGAACCAAAAGCGTGACATGAAATTCTCTGGCGCCAACAACGTTTTGGTCGCAAGAAAAAAACACCTTATTCAAAATTAGTCTTTACAAAACGCGACACAAAGTAAGCACACAATCGCACTATTACGACTAACTTTAGTAGTTTAAATTAAAATGCAATCGATTACAATTCACATTTCTCATCACTAGAACAAGAGCCCTTCGCCTTCTTACTCTTTCCTGACAGGACCAGTTTGGGTTATAAGCACCACCCTCACTCACCCTTCGCGTCAAATTGCTTTCGTGGTGCTGTTACCGTAAAAATTCCGTCACTAGACAGTTCAGATCTCATCTTCCGAAACAGTACCTTTAGGCAACGTGTATTTTCGCCTAAGCTGCCTTGAAATGTAACCATGCTCATCCATTTTCACTTCATGCTTAGCCTCAACCAACATAATCATCAGCAGTCTTCACAATGATTTCTTCAGAGGCGAAGTGCTGAACGTCCAAATTGATTTGGAATTTGTTTTTTTTTTCCATTTCAATAGTCGATCCTAGGTCCCTAGATAGGGATTCTAAATACTTCCAGGGTCTGAAATAATCTCGGAACATCCGCGGTCCCATCATGGATGTAATTATGTCGTCTGGTGTCAACGCCATCCCAAAATCTTGATCAGCAAATGTGTTTTTTTTTCGAACATTCCTCTTCACCATGAACTCCCCCGCAGCCAAAACAAATGACAACGCAATAACTAAACTTTCAAACTTCATATTTACGTATTTATTAATACTAGAACAAGAAAAAAACCACGAGTAGAAAAACACAGAAATCTGAATTGCATTTGTAGTCGCTTGTGATCGCTTGCAGTCGAAAAACTATTATAAGCGATCGAGTGTTGAATGTTTTAATAGTTTGGTGAGACGACATAAGTAATGTTTAAGCGCTGTAGCTGTAGTCAGTCCACAGTACGCTCGCCCCGAGCAGTCCTCCGTTATCATCAAGTTGCGACACGTGTTTTTGTTTGAAATAACTACTCTAGTACATGTAACTCAATGCTTAAAACGCTTACCAGCCGCGTTGGCTTCCTCGAGCAGCACGTGGCGCCGCTGCTCATCTTCGTCATCGTCATCAACCGCGGCGGCTGCCAGCGTGGCTGCTCGCAGTCGTCGTCGACTGTTGAACTTCTTTAGTTCCTCCACCGTACCCGCCAGGTGGATGCGGTTTTGCTTGTCGCGATCCTTCAATAACAATGTGGTAGTATTTTTTAAAGTATAATTATTATTTTTAGAGTTACTCAATCGGCCTCCGTTTCGGACACGTGGTCTTACGTACCGTATAGTGGCAGTGTAAGAATACCCACTACCCCATAACATGCCGTGGGTGTCGTAAGAGGCGACAGAGGGAAACAAACTAGGAGATAGGCGGCAGCGTCTTCCTTATAACAACTAGAAACAAAAAAGACGTGTGGCACTCGGGGACTGCCGCGGTAAAGCTATTGCATAGCATTTTGTATCAACTTATGCAATTATAATTATTTTTTATTTATTTTATTTACGCAGTATTTCTTTTTCTTTTATTAATTCAAGTTAGACTTTTTGAGCGTGGTGACCGATAATAAAACAATTTTTTTTCTTTTATTAAGTAAATAAAAAGTTAATATTGTTTAAAATATTTTTCTTTTTTTTTCTTAGCTCTTTACGCTTTTCTTCTCTATAAAGCGAAAATATCTAGGTATAAATAATAAGTATAAATAATTAGGTATAAATAGTGTAATGACACACCAAAACAAAATTACTCATTTAAAAAAAATAACGATATTAAGAAGTGATTACCGAATTTCGCGCGATGTACATTTATATAGATATAATATCATATATACTTTCTCTGCGCGGCAATCATGTGCATTATCTATACACCAAAAACAAAGGTACTGATGCACTTTGTTCATTCATATTCAAAACACTTTATACACAAATTTTACAAGTACAGCTATTCGCTGTTGTACATAAATACCTATACACCTATATACTTTCTCATAAACAACAGCTGCTTATGTATTCGTCCGATTTCGGAGCAGCTCGTCTCGATTCGTGCGAGCTTCGTAGAGTCGTACAATACGTCTAGTTGCACGCACATAAACACCGTGTCGAAGACTGCCGAAAAGAAACGACGTTAGACAATGCACGGCCTTCAAGCCACACCTCCGTGCCCGTCGGAGTGGGGAGCGTGAGGTTTTTTTTCGTTACGGAATTTCTGGATTCGGTCCCCGCGCTAAAGGCCCGCGATAGAAGCTATGCAATAGCTTAAAAACTTTCTCCTTTTTAAAAGGCTGGCAACGCACCTGCAACTCCCCTGGTGTTGCAGTTGTTTATGGGCGGCGATAGTCACTTAACATCAGGTGAGCCGTATGCTCGTTTTCCCCCTCACCTATAAAAAAAACTGCGGTTGCCAAACCCCTCGCCAAGCGTGGCATCTATGGAAAATATCCTCGTATGAGATTGTCCATGGGGCAAGCCTAAGTTCAACAGGCGACTTTTTATAGGCTATAACGGTAACGGCAGTGGTGCTCGCTGGCCAGCGTGAGATTTTACCCGAAAGAATATAATTATTTTATTTTATGCGTAAATAGTGGTCCACTGTTATTAAGGATTCTATAAAACAGATAATTTTTTTATTTAATATTCTTTATAGCACACCAATAAAAATATACAAAAATAATTTATACAAAAGAAGTATGCAATGGGCGGTCTTAATTGCTGACAGCAATTTCTTTCAGACAACCAATGAATGGAATGAAAAAGTATTTCGAAGACATGTGAATTCTGCGTGAAACATTTCCTTGTCCAAAAATCCTCTCAGAAATGAGAGTTCTATGCCCAGCCGTGAGATGTATATAGGCTGTAACTTTGACTTTTGGTTAAACTATAGACATCCGGTACTGACGTACGGTAGTGAGAGAGGGAGGAGGGGAGGGTTCAGTGGAAGCCCCCCTACCCTTCCCCCTTTGCTGAAATATATAGTTTAAAGGTAATATTTTTTTTTTTGTAAAACTATAACCACTTTTTTATACATTAATATCGACACAAAGTTCTGCAACAGCTTCGGCACTGCGGGAAATGCAGCCCCTTCGCCCTTGCGTAGCAAATCACAGGCACCCATGGTCGCTTCCGCAACTACAGCTCACTCGGGGGCCTGCAATTTCCTACACCAGGCGGGAGCTGCTCTCCCTCCGCGACTACGGCTTTGTAAAAACACTCTAGGGGTAGGGCAAACAAGACTCTACGTGAAGTCGGGGCGTGCTAAATCGGTTTTAGAACAGATTCGACCAATCGTATCTATAAAGTCACGTTGCCCTAATCTCTGCTGTGATAGTGGTAAATAATATAATGTAATCTGAATTGTTATAATTTTGTTTTCTGAAAAACCTCTTGACTGCACGCCACTGCGACTCAATTTGTTGTATATGAGTCCCGTCTTCAGCCACAAAAGGATTATCTGGATCACAGTGATTAACTTTTTCATGAGTGTATCTGTGTTAAAAAAAAACAAATTGACATATTTGCGTTTCGTTATATGCAATTTTTAGTGAAATTTATTTTTATCGTAATTAATTCAAAAGGCATTTCCGAAATCAAAAAAAAAAAAACAGTGTAAAAGGTTCGAGCTTAACCCTGACGAACCTAAATTGAAATCAAAATCAAAAAATCAAGTACCGGACGTCTACTTCATAATACGAGAACAAATTGACATATTTGCGTTTCATTATAAGCAATTTCAAAACGCATTTCTGACATCCAAAAACAGTGTAAAAGGTTCAAGCTTAACCCTGACAAGCCTCCTAAACTGAAAACATAATTAAAATCAAACACCGGATATCTATAGCCAACCCTAACTTTCAACTATGGTATCAGTCAATAGCACTTTGTAGTTAACTTAGGACATAGACTTTCGAATTTTGAGGCATATATAATCAAATTCACAAATCTAGTTAGTTAAGACTAGTTAGAAAGTTAGTTCTGAAGTTAAAGTATCGATTCATAACTACACTTGTGTTAGCAAGATAAAGGATAAACAATTTTTGCAATGTAATAGAACAAAGTTTATAAACATGACTCACTTACCCTTATCCACCGATGGTTAAGAACTTCTTGTATATTAATTCGTTGCGTATGGTCTACAGTAAGCATGCGCTGCACTAAATCTTTAGCTGCGTCGCTGATGTCGTCCCAAAGAGGGGCGTCAAACTTTAAAAAAAATATTTTTTTATTTAGTTGCTATTATTAATAATAAATTTTTCAAATAGGTTTTGAATAATTATATAATAAAATGGTCAATAAAGTACAAAATATATCAAAGCATAATGTTGGAGAAGCAGAAAAATATTGTATAAAAAATATATTATTATGGAAATTCATTATGTTAAAATTATTGCAGTCTACTTCTCCTGACGCGATACCTCATTTGGAGCCGAATTAAGTTTTTTTTTTTAAATTTAATGAGGTTAGAGCAGTGTTCGGTTAAATCGTGGCAATGAAGGGGAAAGGTAAATTCAAAGTACAAAAGGCACTCTTTATATTACTAAAATTTCTGTACCACTGTAAATACTACTGTAAGCATGAGACCACTAAAACTCAGACCACATGTAAAATCAATGATGTGGCTAATTATATGACGAAGTCAGTTTAATATTTAAACACCAACACAGCACAAAAAAATAATATATTAACAAAACTGATAGCATACCCTGAGCCGTCCTCGGCATATTGCCTCGAAAAGTCTCTCCCTTGTCCCAGTAAATGGCAAATATCCCACCAGTAGCACATGGAGCAGGATCCCAGCTGCCCAAACGTCCACGGGCTTTCCATACAGCTGACTTGACACCACTTCCGGGGCCATATAATGTGGCGTTCCGATACGACCTATTAATTAATATTAAAACAATTGATATTCCAAAAACATTATTGGCATTATTTTTTCTGAATTACAGAAATTAATTAGATTTTTAATATATTATTGCAGTTATACAATTTGAAACTATTTATCAAAAGCATATTTAAGATGTACATTTCAAATATGCTTTTGATAAATAGTTCAAAGTTTCAACACATTTCCTGTGTGATTCATTCATTTGGAAACTTCTATTTCTTAATTATTATTTTTCTAAGCATTTTATAACCAGTGCCTATAGATCAAATAAAATCATTTATTCTTGTTCATCACAAAATATGGTATGATTATAGCAACATTTATAATTCAAATGTTAGTCTGAATCCATCTATTTACTGAAATTAAATTTGTGACACCTTCCGCGCTGTGGTTAAGTAAATTACTTATGAAGCTTAGCAAAAAAACTATTTAATAATAAATAATAGCTTAATGCCAACTGCAATCATAATTTATATTACTCTTTAACGCTATAATTATAAATTTACCCAGCTTATGTACTTTTATTGTTCATTTTTATATATGGTGAAAGACAATACTAAGCGAATTAATTTGAATTTTAACATAAACACTTTACCTTTTAAAAGAGTGTATTATATTGAGATTGTTTTATTATTCTAGTAATAAGCAAATGAAGGAAAATTAATGAAGTTGACAACACAAGATAGTTGAAACTAACTCACACTGCAAAAAAGAAAAATTTAAAATGACCAAAATTATGAATATTAAACACCAAATAAAGGGTGTGTTCTGAAATAGAACCCAATATACTGGCCAATGCAAATGACGTCATAAATCGACGCTATACTGGTGATTCGTTTCAAAACATTGGCCAGTATATGACATCATACATTTTCGCCATATTGGAAAAGTGTTGGCCATTATTTTTTGTCATTTTGTGCTCCAAAAGTTATTATATCCTGTTTCAATTAATTTGTGAAGAATGGAGATACCAGCAAAAATTCTTTATTTTTTTTTATATTTGAATAAATAAAACCAAATTGCTTCATTCAGCGTACACACAATTAAAAATTGTTTTAATTGGCGGGATATCAGACACAATATGGCGGCGGCACGCCAGTACAATATGGCGTCAATTAATGAAGTCATTAGCATTCGCAAGTATACTGGGAATATTTCGGAACACAGACAAAAATGTATATATTAACTAAGGTCTAATTTTTCAATAGTCAGATAAAAGTTAACCATTTAATAAACTAACCTGAGTAAATATAAAAGTGAAACAATTGAACGATTTTATTCATACGACTGTAATTCTTAAGTTACTTTTTTTCTATAAAAATAATTTTATCTGATGATTAAAAAAATTGCCCTAATTTTTGCAGATAAATTAATTACAGTGTGAATTGGCTTTTTATCTGTGAATGTGACATAAAACATCAACAGGAATGTACAGGGGATTAGCCAAAACCTTTCACAATAATTACAGTGTCATTGCAGGAACAAGTGCCAATGCATTAATTTTGTTTATTAATAAGTGTTTATTAAAGTGAACATATTCTATTGCTGTGTCTCAATAAATTGAACATATGTCTGCAGTAGAAGACACATTGTGACAGTAAGTTGATGATGCATGAGTGACGACACATGTGCCAATGAGATTTGCACATAATGTCCATGCAGTTAGGGCACAAATCGCTTTGCTTTCGATGTCTTACCATACTCATCTGATTTGAGATATGCTTGGCCCATAGGACCCACTAGTGGTCGATTGTCCATCACCAGTTCTGTACAATACAATCCTAAATCACCAATTTGGAAATTGTAAAAATATAAATTAGGAGTATTCTTAGTTTAACAATCACTATTTGTGGGTTTTTTTTACTAAATTCTTGAGTGGAAGATTGGTATTAATTTGTTCGTGTTTTTATGGCTGGTTGTGAAAAAGCCAAGACTGTATTAACTTCTTAAGGAGTAAGCAGTGCAGATTATTTCTTATGTCCCATTACTATATTAGAGAAACATTTGATTCTCAGTTAAGATTCATTTTGTTAAATACAAAAGGCATGCAATTTTTTCAAAATAACTAATTCTCTGTAGCATCTCGGAGTCAGGAAGTTCGCTGCGCCTCGGAAAGAACGTAATGTCGTTGGTACTTCACCTGAACTCTCTCCGGTCGTGTCGGATCGCCGACACATCAGACTACAAGAATGGCGGAACAGACAGTGCACCTGTGCTTGCGCACAGACTTGTGTGTTACAATCCTGTCTGCACAGTTGATTAGTCTTTGTTACGACTGTCCGCCGTGACCGTAATTCGGTCTGGAGAACATTCGATTACACTCAATAATACATACATGTAATAGTAGTACTGTAACTAACTTGTAAAGTTTTTTAACTTTTTTTTAATATGATAAGGGCGACAAACGTGTACACAGTCCACCTGATGGTAAGTGGTTTCTATGGTCCATAGACACATCTACATCTATCCTCGATTATGAATCAAAATGCACATGCGTTGTCACCCGTGAGGACCAAGATGGAAGGTAAAAACGATCTCCGATTCTCTATATTCACCACACGAAACACATGAGAACGTGGTCTTTCCCCGATCGAGCAGACCCAATCGTGCTACAACTATACAACTAACATAGCTGCAGCATGGCTCTACCGCTTAAAGACTTTGTCATAATCTCCGCGATTCACGTAATATGGTTATTTTTAACTAGTTATTCTATTCTTTAAGAAGTAAGTATTAGTTCCGAGGCAGTAGCGCATTGCGTTTACCGGGTGGGGCTCGGTGTGCAGCAGGCGCTGGTAGTTGTGCGGCGACGCCGAAGCCGCCCAGCTTAACGGGCGCGCAGTTGTCTCTGCCCGCTAGCAGCACGCAATGAGGACGCACGTCGCGATGTACTATGTCGTTCTCGTGGCAATAGCGCAACGCCTCGAGAATCTGTCGCATGTAATGACTGCAACAAAAATGTACTTTTATAAAAGGATGTTCTTGTATTCTGTACTTTATGTATATATGTTACGTATATTCACCAATAGTAATCCGATTTTGATATACTTTTTCTATAATTAGATTATACTTCAAGAGTTTCAAAGTTTTCATCCCTAAGGGTGAAAAATTGAAGACACTACAAAAATTATGTCACTATTTGCTTTTTATGGCTACTAACAACTTTAAATTAAATAAAGTAATTAAATTATGTATATTTTATTAATCAAAAGCAGTGGCCTTATGATTAGCCACTAATACCTAATGCTGCTGTGTTTCATATATTAAGTGAAAAGAACAGAGATGAGTGGCAATGCATCTTAATTTTAATACTTTATCTTCTAGTTGTCAATGTACCACAACATCAACTCACCATTAGACGGACAGTGATTCTCTATGTGTAGTACACAAATTTAAGAATAAAATACTGACGATACAAGCGAAATAATAATCATCTCAAATAAACCATTAAACGTATTTTGTATTCAAAATCATGTGCTTAATATAACATGGCGTTGTCTAATATGTAAAACTGATACTACAATCGTCAAAGAAGATTACTTTCTCTTCTTTAAAACTAAATGTTACAGCCTTTATACGTCCCACTGCTGTGCACAAGTCTGTTCTAATTTCTGAGAGGTTTGTCCTCTATAATAGCTTGTAATACTGCCACCGCTGCACATAGACCTCTCTCATCTTAGTAAGCTGTAATTGCCATGTTAGGCCGCTAGATCGACGATCGCAGTATTAGATGGCTCGGGTTTACATTTAGTATATTATGATATCAAGTGGTAAACCACCACTATATTGGATACCATAGAATACTATAATACATACATAATAGAACAGGGGAGTGGACGGACCCCGTGTAGCCACTAACATGTCACTTACATGTCAATTCACACCTATAAATGTCAACACAATCAATCGTTTGCAGTTTTCGTGTCAAGCGTCGCTGCATGAAAATTATTTAAAAAATGGTAAATTGCGCAATAATTATGTGTCGAAAAAACAGCGGGAAATGGAATTTAAATATAGAGACATCCTACAACCAGTAAGTCGAAACTATTTGTATTTTGCGAATATTAGAAACAAAAATAAAGAAATATTTATGTGTCAAAAATAATCAAAATGTGTATGTAATGTGTAGTATTTATAACTGATAATACGACGAAATTGCTTGTATGTGTGCTCCCGGCGACGCCGATCCTCGTACAAAACAATGTTGACAGCCATTCTATTGAGTATTATAGTATTCTATGTTAGATACTATGAGGACTCACCGGTTTTTCCGATATTCGCCTCTTACGATACCCACAAGACGAAATAGGGTAATAGCACAGTTAAAAGATCTTACAATTGGGAAACTAATGTACTTATGCAGATCTACGGTGGAAGTACTGCGGGGCAGGGGTGCCATCGCAACTCACCGAGTCTGATAAACAATACATGCGGTTGGCGCGAGTGTGTTTTACATTACTTTTTTAACAAATTTCAAGTGACGTTTTCGAAAAATATAACATCTGGAATGGTGAATTACTTTTATAGTTATATGAGTTATTAAGTAAACTGAATTCAAATGATAGCTATGCTTATTTTTCCCTCATATTTTTTTTTGTTGATAAAATTATTTACCCGAATGCAAATACGTTACATAATTAAATTTAACAATCGAAAACTGCTAACATCTATAAAAAGAAAGTGTCATGAAAATATTGGGCAGTGCAACACTTGTAAATATGTTTTTTTCTTTGTAGTAATGTAATAAATAGTACCGGGATGACCGATCATTGCTCGTTTTTTTTTTAAATTACATTTAGATACAAATTACATACTGGTGAAACATAAATAATATTTTTTGATCTTACCGACATAATAGAAAAAACTGAACTGGTTATTTGAATAAAATAATCATGAGTGCAATGAGTTTAATTAAAATTTTCGTATTTTTAAAAAATACAAAAAAGGGGCTTGAAATAATAGATTTTCTCACAAAAGAAGGGAACTTGAAAAAAAGGAAAAAAATCGGACCGAAGACAGGACGCGAACCAAGGCATTACGATTTCGCGACCGCTCGATATCCACTTGAGCTATTACGATGAATAACAGTTTTCATTGCCTGAAAACACAGACAAAAAGACATTTTCTAAAAATAAATCCTAGCTAGATTGATTTATTGCCCCCGAAACTCCCTGAATTCGACACAAAATTTTATGAAAATTGCTAGAGCCGTTTCCGAGATTCCGATATACATATATAAAAAGGAAAGTTACAGCCTATATACGTCCCACTGCTGGGCACAGGCCTCCTCTCATATCTGAGAGAGTTTTAGGGCAAGGAATAGCCCGCTGCGCTGCCCCAATGCGTGTTGGCGAACTTCACATGTCTTCGAAATATTTTTTTTTCTTATTTCTCAGACATGCACGATGTTTTCCTTCACCGCCGAGCACGTGGTAAATCAGCACTTAAAATTGCAATTAACAATTTCATTGGTGCCGGCGGGGATGCTCAGAGCCGTGGTAGCTCAGATGATTAGCATTCGCTGTAAATTTCACAGTACGCGAGCAAACCGGAGCATTATATAATGTCCGGTTTTAAAGGTATAGGATTTATAACATTTATAATAATGAGTATTATAATATCCAAAATCATTTTATTTCCATTTTCGTGACAATCTCAAGCATACAAGCTGCCACGTAAATATTCTCGCGGGCGGTGGCATCGCCAGATATTAAAGGCATTTCACAACTGTAAGGTCCTAAAACTGTAGTAATAGATTCTGTTACGTCGTTACCACACGACACACATAACATGATAGCTAAATCTAAATAGACTCTGGAGTTTTGATTGTCAGATTGATGACAGAAACATTTTTTTTAATTTATATAAAAAATATATGATCGATTATCAAGTTACTATAAGCACCTATAGTATTTTAAAATAAATAACTTAATTTAAAAGTTATAGAATTTGTCTCTTTTTGCCACTTCTATTCTAATATTGAGCCTAAATATGCATGAGATAATATATAATCCACACCTATTCCCATTTTCCCTTAAAGTAACAAGTAGGAAAAAGAAAAATTTCGTACAACCGACTCCAATATAAATAAAATCAGTACATCATCAATGTTGTCGAAGTCAAATAAATACGCATTATTAAGCATAACTCAAAAACTACCGGTCAGATCTTGATCAAAGGAAATGTATGAAATCGGGTGCTGTCAAGCACCATCATCATCATCATTTCATTTCGTCCTTAACAGTTATTCAAAAATATGTAGGTCATAAAACGATAAATTATAATCATAAATTAATAGTTTTTATTTCTGTTATACAAGGGACAATCAAAAAAAACATAACAAAAACGAAACTCTTTCAATATTTTTCTGTATTTTCTCTATGGCAATAGATAATGAAGGCTATTTTTATAGTAAAATATCCTTCATTATCAAAAAAAATCATAATACTGAAACATTGAGAATTTAAAAAAAAAAGAAAAAAATTGAGGCGAATCTATAGAGATTAATATTGAATAAAAGAAATTTGAAAAAAAAAACGATTGAATTGGTTATTTTATTAAACAACAAAAATAAATATTATCTGACACAACTGAATAGGCTGTATGGTCATTGATCATTGCCTATTCCGAAAGATATTTAACTTTATCACTTCGAGTTTAAACTTTTAACTTATCATGCGCATTCGGCATTATGGCTGTGTTCGTTGATGCATTTTGTGTTTTCCCTTTCGTGGATTTATTTAATTTTAACTTGACCCCTGGCTTTTCTCTCGAATTACAGGATAGTGGGTTGTTGCGCCTACATAATGACAACAAATGGTACTCAAGTTTTGAGAGGAATAAAACAGACAATGTACAGCCTTCAGCTGCTTTTCTAGATGACATTTTATTATAAAGCGGGGAATTCACTAGACGGACTTGCCCACGGGCATGTCTGCAGACACTATAAGTCTGTGCAAAGTTTGATAGTGTAGGGCCGTCGCAGTCGGTCTGGCAGACTCGCCTGTTGAACGTCCGCGCGAACTCATTCTGTCTGCGCGGGCACAGACTTGCCCGACGTAAATGCTTACTACCGGCAGTCTGTTCACAGGCACAAGCGCGACAACAACCAGGAGTGCAGACGATCTTTTATTATTATTTAACGAACTTTGGAGATTTTTAATTTGCAATGAGTTTAAATATAATAAAATATTCTGGGAAGAGTTTATACGACTCTACAATCCATGCGCAAGTAATTGTACAGGTCTCCTGGTTTATCAACTTCTAATTATTTCTGTGATTGATATGGCTAAGCTCATTTCTATTTTTATACCATTCTTTGCACCAAATTAATAATAAATAAATAATAAGCACAACTAATCACGTAGCCGGACTAAAACGAACTGACGAGTCTGTGTGTATTGCGGCGACAGACATGCCCGGACAGACAGCTCGTGGGCATCCCCGTCTAGTGGATTAACCGCTTAATTGCAGAATATAAATAAACAATTTAAAAAAAGGTCGAGTTTAATTTTACTTTATTTAATAATAACTACAAACTACACTCTTTTATTTTTTTTTTATTTCTACTCAGTATTATTTTCAATTTATTCAAACAACTTATTACAAGAACAAGTGACTTTACTACATAACTTACATATAATAAAACATAAAAACCAAACCGCCATTAGTAGCAAATGTCTAAATCTTCAAAATAAGACATATTTGAACTTTGTTCACACCGGAACCAAGCTTGTATGGAATCAAGTTTATTTACTTTATGTGGGACCACATGAAAAGCACAAGCTTTGAGATAAAAAAAACCCATCAAAATCAGTTAACCTAGCTACAGCATGGCTCTACACATTGATTTACTCAAAAATGTGAAACTTTTTACTTTTCAACAGAACAGACTACTATTTATAAAGTAAAAAAAGTTTTTTAACAACCTAAAAATGTCAAGAGAATCTTACCAAGCAACAGCCTCACTGTATACAAATCCAGCAGTTGCCCTTCGTACAACTTCAAAGCAGAGGTCTGAGCCATCCATGCTGGAATGAAATAATATAATTTAAAATAACTTAAAATTTTATTGCATTTGCTTTTTAAAATAATCACTTATCACACACAAATATATTACCGGAGAGAAAATGCCTTTCCTATTTCACACTGTTCCATCCGTTTTAAGTAAAATCAATAAAAAAAATTATTCAGGGCCAATGGAATACGTAGAATATAAAGTTCTAAGGATAAATATAAATAGGATAGGAAATAGGATAAATATTTAGGCTAACAAAATAATCAGATAAAGTAGATGCGCTTCAAAAACGAGTCCCAACATCGTCCTGAAGATATTATTGCATGGGACGAAAACATAAATTTTTATATTAAAATGTAATTAAATAACCATGAGGTAAGGCCTTTTTGCCTAGGAGTCTATTCTAATCTCCTCTATTCTTGGCGTCACCAGTGTACCTATTTCTGCCGTCAAGCAGCAGTAAACCCAATAAATTGTGCTAATTGAAAGAGTAAGAGACAGTACAATTACTGGCTGTGAAAAGTTTCATCATAATGGTAACCACTTTCAATTTTTCTATGTTAACAACACATCCCTTGTTAATACGGCAGAGCTACGCTGCAGCTATATTATGGTTGTAGCATGAACGGATCAGCTCGACCAGAGTAGGACCACATTCTCACTGAATGTCAGTATAAAATAGTAGCTTAATGTTGCTGTTTCATGGTGAGTGTAGAGAACCGGAGACCCTTTTTACTCAAAACAAGGCAATTCTATCTTAGCCCTTAGGGTTGACAACACATCTGCATTTTGATTGTTAATTGAGTATAAATGTAGATGTCTATGGGCCACAGCATCCACTTACCATCAGGTGGACTGTGTACTGCTTTGCCACTTTTATTCTACCCAAAAAAAAACCCTCTTTCTATATTTGAAGTGCATTGTAGTTCTACATAGGTTCATGAAGAATTGGCATCTTACCATTAGTACTGTGAACTTTGTGCTCACTCTAAATCTATTTAATGCCAACCAATCACACTTCATTAATTCAGACCATCATAGGTGCCCCAAAGATCTTAAAGGGGAGATATTTTCCATAGTTGTCAGTCACTCTTGGCTGACAAGTAAAAATCCACAGTTTTAATTATTTTAAGTTGTTATCAAGATAAAACTGCTACCTATCTCATAAAGATATTAATAGTTACTTTGCAACCATCCACTGCTACCTTAATTGCGTGCAATAATCCAGTCACCACTTATCCCAGCACCACTACTTCCAACACGACTATTCTAGGAAAGATTTCCTATCGACGATAATACGACACACGTTTAGCCTCTACACGAGGCATCTTCAGGTGATATAGACTAAGGTGGCTGACCGCTAAGAAAAGTGGGAGGTGCTCTTCAAATTAGGTAAGACACATCATTCTTTTCATTGATTTCATTCAGCGGATGGTTGCAAAGATTTCCTATCGACGATAATACGACACACGTTTAGCCTCTACATGAGGCATCTTCAGGTGATATAGACTAAGGTGGCTGACCGCTAAGAAAAGTGGGAGGTGCTCTTCAAATTAGGTAAGACACATCATCCTTTTCATTGATTTCATTCAGCGGATGGTTGCAAAGTAACTATTAATATCTTTATTATAATGGATTTCCGCAAATTACCGCCTGATTCTATTAATTGCTACCTATCTCATGTTTAATTTTTCTCTGTCACCTATTTTGATATCCATGGAATTATATGGAGTATCAGAAGAGGTGTGCTATCACACTAATAGGATTATGGATACAATAACTAAAACTTGAAATTGGAACTTTAAAATTTTTGATATTTCATGACACTTTAAGCAGTTTAATATTTTTTTACGTTGGTTTAATTTTTAGAGATAGGTATGTAATTAAAACAAATATTATTTACTTACTATTCAAAAACCATATACAGCATTCCCTCTGAACTGTAAGTTTCTAATAGTTCCACAATATGGGGATGCTTTAGCATATGACATATTGTAGCTTCCCGTTTCAAATCTGTAAATATGTATATTAATGCATAAATATATACATACAGAAATGTTCTTAATAAAATAAAGTTCCTGTAACCAATTAATTAATTTGTTGATTATTGATTATTCCAAAATGTTATGTAATAGCCAGTAAATGTTATACAGGAGATAAACAGAAGTGTATTACTCCACTTTTCATTAAGTACACAAGAATTCTCTTCTTTTTGCTAGATTCAACAAAGCGGTCTAGGTGCGACCGGAAAGGTCCACACGACTAACTTCCCAGTGGAAAGAATAAAAAAATACCATATGTGTGTATGCACAATTTATCATGTAGCACAAAAAACAACTTGACCGATTCTGCACAAAATTTAAGGAGGTCAAAGTTACATAATTATGCGTTAAATGAAACTGGTCCCATATCAATATCACTCTTTGTTCTAGAGATACACGAGGCAAAATTTGAATCCGTACATACATACATACATGTGCACACACAGACGTCTTAAAAATCATACTATTCGACTCTTAAAGACCTTGAAACGTGGAGATATGTTGAAATTTAAAATTTGCAAAATCAGACCAGTTACAATAACTTCCCACTGGGAAGTTAATAAAACATTAAGTGGAAATCATTGAAGTAATATGTACTACATACTAAAACAGGTGCCACAAACAAAATCTGTGTGGCACACAGGGTGCACAGAGTACCTTTTTATGGCACAGAATAAGTAAGTTAGAGCCCATGGGCTCTAATGCATGTTGCAAACAACGAAATGTTGCTGTTGCAAATAGGCTTTATTAATCTGCAGCAATATATCTCATGCTATACACTGGTTATGAATAAAATGTTGCGAGGAAACCTAAATGTCTAAGAAATTAAATAACTATTTCAAAGGTACGAGAAGTTCACCAACAAGTATTGGGGCAGTACTACACTATTTTTACTGTTATTGTTTAAGCAAAATTATAAGCACATCTAGTTAGAATTATGGATAACAGCATGGTATTATCAAATGAAACATATTATAAAAATCAAAACTAACAAAGGATAAAAAATTTGTTTTTTTTTTCAATGCACATAAAATTAATTTCTTGGATTTCGTCACGCTAAACCTAATAACCAACTGTATTTACTACAAAGGAGATAAAATATTATATAAATTAAATTAACACAATACTCTGGCGTTTTATAAATTATAAACCTTAAATTGCTTAACAATTAATAAAAAACACCTTTACAATTTCAAAGTAACAGAAAGTAGTATTTAATTAGGTATTTCATGAAGTATGAAAACAGTACCTGCAGTGCTGAGACCAGGGCTTGCAGTAAAGCGAGCTACATCAACTATTTTAACAGCAAATTGTTGTCCAGTCTGACGATGTACACAACGTCTGACAAGGCTAAATGGTCCCCTAAAAAATTATGTACATTCAGACTTATTTCATATTAAAACAATTTTTAACATTTCATAATAATTACTATACACATTTATGGTACACAATAAGAGATTTAAAGCAACTACATTAGAGAATACTTTCGAAGAATTATTTTTATACTTACTTGCCAATAATTTCACATAATTCGTAGACATCATCAAATAACACTTCGTCTTCAGCCATTTTTTAGGAAAACTGTTATAATTGTGTTTCAGAAATAGTGATAAAACATCATAATGAAAAATGTGTAACTTCAAAATACGAAGGTTACGCCCCGAGAGGAAAATTCATACATTAAAAGACTAAAATACGTTATAATAACACTGAATAATACGGAAGATTAAAAAATATAATAGTCTAATCACACACACAAACAAATAGTGTAATTATGTGCAATTTGTGCATATTTAAAAAATGAAAATTCGCGACATTTCTCTGGATTTTCCAAAGCTATGAAAACACTCCACTGTAAAAACTTCAAAAATAAAATATTTATAATATAGTTCCCAACAAGTAGTTATTTAATTGCGTGCTGACTATGAATTACTATTATTATAAATAGTGAAATTGTAAATTAAAATAATTCCCTATTATTTTCTATTTACTTTTGACATTCACTAAGGGTTGCAAACGTGTTGCAAATATTCAAAGATATTCAAACTGTAATTTTATGTAGGGATGTTCGATGATCATCGATTTAAAAATTAGAACATCGATGTCTTAACATCGATGTTTCCACATTTTAAACATTGAAACATCGATGACCATTGACCACAAACCATAATCGAATATTGGAAGGTTATTTTCAAAAGTTGGCTCAACTCTTTATCAAGAGAGAAACAGATTGAAAGGTCTAGTCCTTATCAAAATTACTCTATCTCTAATCAATAGTAAAAAATATTGTATTGTATAAGAAATGAACTGGATATTTGTCAACTTATTTCAATTTTTTTTTAATTACTGTTTATTAATTTCTTTTATTTCATTTATAATATACCATAAACAACATGTGTTTTTTTATTCATCTAATTCTAACCTATTATAAACCTAACCTATCATAATAACCTATCATAAATACATGTGCAAAAAACATCGATAACATTTAACATCGATGTTATGAGTAGGATAAATATCGAACATCGTTGTTGACCTATCGATGCCAACATAGATGTCGTCATCGATGATTCTGCAACATCGAGCATCCTTAATTTTATGTTGGGACTTGCGATAAATGAGTGTGACCAATCTATTAACAAGAATCCTACCATCACACTTTGAGGGGGGAGCATTATCTACTCTTCCCTACCAAAGCGTAATAATATTAAAAATGAAAGAACTGCTCTCACAAATATTTTAAAATTTAATATATTATTTATAATCTTTATAATTACGGATCTTTGTGTCTATAAATGTACAAAATTTGTCATTAAACAAATTTAAATGTTATTAAAGAAAAGTTGTACACAAAGGGTTATTATAATATAAATGAATACATAAATGAAAATAACCCCTGGGAATTAGGTAATCGGCACCATGGCGGTTCTATAAAAAATCATACAAAAATTGTACAAAATAAATATATTATAAATTGAAATATGTTCAAAAAGTACCGCTGGGTTACTCGCTGGTTCTTCCTAGGTCATAGTTTTTTTTTTACGAACCTGTTGTACTACATAAATACTTACTAATGTTGTACTACATAACTAAATAAATAACATATAAACATAAACACTGACGCCTGTCACCCAGAGGGGTAGACAGAGACTACAGACTTCCATTTAGCACGATCCTGACATACCTCTCTCGCCTCTTCCACATCCATATACCTACGCACACATGCTCGTCGGTTAAGGGTACTCTTAATTTGGCCCACTTTTGGTATATCGCCAATTTGGTCGACAAACTTCCGCCTAGGACGTCCCTTTCCGACTCTTCCATTCACTTCTGCAACATATATTTGCTTTGTCAGTCTTTCCGTATTCATTCTTTCTACATGGCCAAACCACCGAAGCATTCCTTTCTTAATCCTGGTCACCACATCATCTTGCAAACCTCACTTCTTTTATCACACAGTTTCTCACCCTGTCACTCAGATTCAGCCCTAACATACTCCTTAGCGACCGCATTTCTACTGCATTTATTCTACTCTCGTGCTTCTTCTGCCACACCCAACTTTCACTACCATATGTTAAAGTAGGGACTAATACAGCATTGTGAATTACCATACGTGCCTTTTTTGACACATTCTGACTTTTCACAATAGAGTGTAGAGCCCCATTTACTCTATTTCCTGCATTCACTCGTCGTTCAATATCCTTATCATATCTCTCATTCCTGCTGAATACACATCCCAAATATACGAACTCATCCACTTTCTCAATTAACTCTCCTTCTATTCTTATTTCACATACCGTTTTGCTTTCTTCTCTTTCAAAAACCATCACTTTCGTCTTACTTGCGTTCACTTTCATTCCCCTTTCTTTTAATGACCTGTTCATTAATGTAACCATCATTTGCAACTCGGCCGCCAACGACGCAAGTATGACTTGATCATCGGCGTAGAAAAGGCATTGGTGGTTAACTCACCCATTCTTAACCCGCATTCTTCAACTTTGAAATTTTCCAAACAACTGTCCATAAATAGGTTGAACAGCCACGGGGACGCTACACAGCCCTGTCTGACACCTTTATGGATGCCAAACCAGTCCGAGTAGACCCCGTTGATTCTAACACAAGCACTCGAGTCCCTATACAGAGACTTTAATGCCTGTATTAAACCAGCGCTCAACCTAAATGCGTTCAGCGTTTGCCATAACACATCCCTGTCCATCTGTCATAAGCCTATTCCAAGTCCATGAACGCACAAAAAACCTTTTGGTTTTTCGCCAAAAACTTTTCCGCGATCATGCGCATGGAAAATACTTGATCTGTACACCCCATTCCGTTTCTAAATCCCGCTTGCACATCCCAAATTTTTTCATCAGTTTTTTTCATAACTCTTTCAATTAGTACCTTAGCATACAGTTTTCCCACAATGCTAAGAAGGCTGATACCACGGTAGTTTTTACAGTCCTGCTGTGACCCTTTTCCCTTATATATTGGGACTATCACGGCTTTGCACCAGTCTCCCGGTACCCGCTTTAGTTCCCAACATAAATTAAACAAGGTGTACAGCAGGCCTGCCACCACGTCCTCTCCAGCCCTTAGCATTTCGAGTGAAACTATCATATCCGGCTGCCTTACCTACTTTCATGCTTTTCCATTATTTCATTTATACTTATCACCCTATCTCTTTCATCTTCTTTCGGAATTTCTATTTCATTTAGTTCACACGTCATAAATACGCTTTCAAAATATTCCTTCCATCTCTTTAGACTCAACACTTCATCATTCAGAATACCTCCATTCTCGTCTCGTATCGCATTCAATCTAGGCTGTTTTGAATGTCCCCTGGTATTTCTTACGAGTTTCCAGAATATTTTAATATTTGCCTGGAAGTTATCCGATATTCTTCTATCATTCTTATCCGTTCTTTATTGCTTTTTCCTTTCAACTAATTCTTTTACTCTCACTCTCTAAATAAATAACTCTTTTACTCTCTAAATAAATTACACATTACTAATTAAAAACCCAACCAGATGGAAACCCTCGGCAGACGGTCTATGGATAGGGGGAAAGAGAAAGAAACCGGCGGACGATGCAGGCGGTATCGAGGAGCCTATTCTGCATTTGAGCCATGCAGAGAGTCCCAGTCACTTCAGATGACCCGAGAGGCTGCCGGGATTACTCCATTCGTAGAGACGACTATAGGAAAAATTTCGGTCGGCAGACCACCCCATATCGTGTCGGTCACTCAGTTCCAGATATTTTTGTTATGTGATGAGTTTCTCATCACACTCAATGGTAAAAACAAATTTAGCGCTGATTTTTTGATACAGGCCCTGCCTAGTTTAGAAGTCCGAGGTTCTAGTCTCCAGTCTAGTCTAGTAATCTAAGATTTAATATTAGGACAGTATGTTATATATATATAAGGGTTCAGTCGTGCTACCGTAATTTGTGTCCATTAAATGAAAGATATCTAAGATCACAGACTTAATTTTATAGCACATTAACTTTATTCTACACTTGTTATAAAAACTCACAAATAATAATCACAAAGAAAAGGTCTAAGATCACACACTTTTAATTTTATACCACAATAACTTTATTCTACACTTCTTTCTATAAAAACTCATAAATAATACTCACAAAGTTTTACCAGGAAAATAGAACCACACTAACGAGCACAGAAACTGAAGTGAGTCTATTCCCGCGTTCATACAATAAGGAAAACGTAATAACGACTTAGGTGTACTCTGATTGGTCGACGATTTGATTGGTCAATACTATTCACTAAACTACACTAAACAATAACTTTTTATTGAATTCATTAGGTTACTTTAGTAATTTTAATTACCAGGATTAATAATCAAATCTACAATTATTTATTCTATGATTTAAAACATTTTTGATAACATATTTGAGTTAAAAGTTGATAATCGAATAAATAGTTGTTTTAATAGGAATTAATTGTCAATAAAGAGATTTTTAAACCAAAGAGTTTTAAAGAACTAGCTAGTTACATGTTATGTTTCTGATAAATTGTTGTTATTAAATTGTAATATTAATAATTATACACTGTTGATTATTATAATTTATAACAATTAAAAGACAATGCAAAGTTTAGGCTTCGTCAACAGAAGATGTCCTTGCGGCGACACACACACACACACACACACACACACACACACACACACACACACACACACACACACACACACACACACACACACCCCCCCCCTATATATATATATATATATATATATATATATATATAGTAATAAATTATTATTATTATATGATCTCGACCAAATACATCTGTAGCAGCCAGATTAATCAAACCGAAACGGGAATAAATAATATATACTCCGCTGCTACCATAACGCGGAAGGCGAGAATAAATAAAAAAAAACATTTTTATTTCCTAATTATTCTTGGCTACTGAGATACTGCGGACTGTATATAGATAATTTGACGTTCTTATAAAGAAACAAGAAGCAGCCGCAAATATCATTCAGCGCCACACCGACTTCACACGCCGCTATCGTCACGTATCCGTCGACCAATGGTGAGCCGTTTCTTCA